TCCGATGTTTATGGAAGTTGGAGTAACGTGTTAGTCCAAGCCAAGATCAAGATAACTATATAAGAATATACCGCTTCTGTTGATTTAAATAACGACCAAATAATTTTGCGTAGTTATGTCGGATGTAAATTAAGGAATATATTAATCGATATAATGTGTTATATAATGGTATAGCCAATGAAGTTACAAGTGAAACTGGACAAACTTTGTTCTCTTTAACTACGCAAGATATTACTTTTGCACTAATGACTAAGTCTAAGCGATATTCATGCGGTTATAAGATTAGTGATGCCGAACATCCAAAATTGTTCATACATATGGTTAAAAACGATATGTTATTTCCCAGTAAGAAAATTTCTTTAGTAATTTAGATATATTTGCCTATATAAATTCAAAGTTTGTATTTGTGGAGCGTTATATTCAGTTGCAAATAACAAATTTGTATAGGGATGTTGTACAACGTTGTAATCAAGAAAGAGATATTTTGAAAAATGCACTTGCTATTGCCACGCAATCTCCTGATCAATTTGCTTATAATCTCATGAAAGGACCTGGATATATGGCCGTGACGCAGGGGAAGTAGTACATATAGTTAAATGCATACCTGTTGATGTGAAAGTCTCGCAAAGTGAAGAGTGTTATGCTGAACTGAAAGTAATACATAACAATCATACTACATTTTTATCTCCCAAAAATCACATTTTGAAAGCACATGGAACAATAGTTGATTGCAACGTTTTGTTACCCACATTTTTTTATTTCAATAAAGATTGGTATAATTTTTGCCTAGTGCAGTAGAGGCGAAAGCACCTACCACTCTCAAACCTTTGTCTGGATTAACGTCGAAATATCAGAATATCCCCGCACTTGCCACAAGTGGAATATATACGGAAAAATATTTACAAGATCTGACAAACCGTATCATGTTTCCTGTGGAACGACCCATAGCAGTAAACGACGTAGCTCGAGGAATTCGTGGACATGTCGTCAAAGATCATGAAGGAATAATTGGAACTCTTGAATGAAAATGTGATGGAAAAGTTAGTAGTCAATACCTGGAACAAAATGTGGACTAAATTTATGAATCGTGAAGTCAACTTGGTTTTTAGATTCTGGCACGTTTTATTTTTGTAATATATATTTTTTCCAGTATAGTCTTAAAAAATATCTAAATCATCATTTTGATTTCACAGTTATTGACAAATAAACGATTAGCTGCTTTTAGTTATAACAACTATAAGTGTTAATTGATACGGGTGTAACGGCGGCTCGACATAAAAAGAGACCAGGAAAAAACAAGCCACACACTTAGCTCGTAAATTAGGATTATAAATCGCGTACAGCTAAGAAAAGAAAATTTTCTTCGTGAACGACAGTTTTCGTCTCGCGCATCTGGCACTTTCTGGATGTTTGGAAATGTACAATAATAATCAGAGCGAGTTTACAACCGCGCCATCCGGAATAGCCAGATTACGAACATCTCAGGAAAATAGAGAGCTGCAGCGCACATGTATATCCTATCTATAATACCATTATTTTATTTTAATTAATTTATTCTCAATTTTATTAAGTTCTTTTAAATTAAAGGAAGCACATTTGCTTGCAGATCTCTCAAAAATATGTGAGACTTATCTGTTTGAAGTAGTATTCAAGTATATAACAAGGACTATTTTGATTAATAGTTTTTTTTTATTGCTCGAATAGCTTTAGTTTTATATATAAATATAAATATAGAAATTGTAACGGAGAATTCCGGCCGTACCGTCTGGGTTGCTCGCGACTGTCCGCACAAATTATTTATTCGGGGATTCGGGAAGCAAAAGACGTTCCCTCGACTGAATAACGTGTCGAGCATAACTACGTTAAACGCACAGATTCGAGATCGGGATGAGAAGTGATACAGCGGCGAATAAACACAACAGCGGATTAACATACTAGTCTTTTAATTATCAACAATCGATTACAATACGGCGACCTCGGACTTATACACTAACGAGCGGCACAATAACAAATGCGAACGCGAAGGTGAATCGGTGGCTGCTCAGCCTACCGATTCCCTTGTGAAAACTAATTATTATAATAAATGTCTGACAAACACTTTCCGCCGATAGACTACCAACGGGTAGATAGCAGATCTGCCATACTACCAGCTATAAGCTGACGCCCAAACATGCAAAAGAGAGAGAATTAAGAGAAAAACACGGCACCGACCTCGACCTTCAGCCTCTCCGACGGCTGGAGCGCTATGACGTCACTGATGTGTTCTCCGCTGACCGTCTCGCTGATGCTTGCTCTTCAATATTGCCGCCTCAATCCGCTGTTTCACTTGAGAATTGCTGTGGTTGTTTCTGCCGCCTCTTCATTGTTCGATGCTACAGTACGTCCAATTCCTCGCGCGCGCACCCGCGCACCTCGCCGGTTACCCACACGCACCGGTGCCGGGTATCCTTCGGGACACGGCTGGACGCGACCCAGCCTCACACTCTATTACTCGTCCGCGCACCGGGCGTGTCTCCTTAAACGAATAAAACGTCGGCGAGGTCGCGGGGCCAACTTGGAAAACCGTGACCTTTCGGTTTTATCCGCGCGCGCGACCTCCTCTGCTTATAGCTTAGCAGAGACTTCCCGAATTTTCCACGGCGATCTAATTTCTTTCATTTAATTTTTCTCTAATTTTCGGTCCATTTCTTTTCTCATTCTTTTCTTTCCTAGTTTCGCGTACGGTTTTTTTACTTTAGATAGTTACACTCGATTGCCAGTGTGGTCGAGTGCATATTAGATAGGCTCCCTGTTACGTTATTTTATTGCCAAGAGTGTGGTAAAATAACGCGAAGCATAACTATATTACCAAGCATGTAGTATAGTGAAGCTTCAATCCTCCGTCGCCGAAAAGAGAATTTCCCGCGATAGTGGCAACGCACGTCCCGGTTATTGTCCGAAAGGATAGACCAAAAAGTGCGCCTGAGAAATGTCTCGTCAACGGACGTCACACGGGGTATAATAAAAATTCCTTTGAATTCTAGATTTGTATGTTTGTTTTACCTATTGCATCGATAATCGTTATTTTATTTCAAACCCATACAAATGTGACGGCCAGCCGTAACTTAGTTTTTTTTTCCTCTATTAATTTAATTATTAAATATGACGAAAGGAGTGGGAACCTTCCTAATTTCCCACGATGAAAACGCATTCGAAATATAAACTTTGATAGTGGCCCGAGCCTGCGTACTCAAGCTACAATCAACGATCTATCCTGCTTTGTCCCACACGCATGTGTTGACAGGGGCCTACGATCATCGTGTATACATCGTGAAGTGTTATCACGCTGATAATGGAAGGGGACCATAAAAATGCAATTTCTTTTTTTTTCCACCGATTTTTAAGAAAATATCCGTAATATTAAATAGATTTTCATCAATTTTGTAAGCTATTATAATGCGCATCTTTTTGTCACCGAATAACCAATAAATAGAACAATAATGTATTTTATAATAAATCGTAAAAGGTTTGGATTTTTCTAAATGTTTATAATAATCACTATGTATCGTTATAATTAATTAAGCTTAGTACGATTATGTATAAGTAATTATAAACTATAGCGTTACTCTTGCTCTTAAAAGTGGCACTCCGAGAGCCATCTCTGGAGAAAAGGGCCCAAGTTAAAAAGGGCCCTTTTCTCTCCCAGAAAAGGGCCCAAGTTAAAAGGGCCGGCCTTTCTCTCTCTGAAAATTCACGCCCACAGACCAATAAAGAAATTCTGGATATGATTAGAAAATTTCCCACCAATACAAAATTTGACCGTTATCGCTTCATGGGCCTGAGGAAAGGGATTTCCATCCAACCACCCACGGCTTATAAAAAGCTCTGTACAAGACTGGAAAGAAAGAGTAGTGAGTGTGGAGTGGGCACCAAGAAGTGATTATTACCTAACAAGAAGTGATTACCAGTGAGTGAGTCCCGGAGGAAGCATCAAAGAAGAAAAGTCAGCCAAAATTCAATTAAGAAGTCACACAAGTATATTCAGAATATATAGAGAGAGAAAGAGGCCAAAGAGCAGAGAGAGCGCAGCCTTAACAATAAGTGATTAGATAAAATAAAAGTAAGTAAAATGTTATAACTGGCTATCCTTTTCTTTCTTCAAGCAATCCGCCCTTTCTTTTTGGAAATTCATTAAGCGTGAGTCTGGTGAATTTTCATTAAAGTCCCTTAAGAACACATTAAGCATGAGTCTGGTGTGTTCGTAATAACATTTGGTTATTACATTCCGTGCTAGCATACAGTTTTCTCAACGCAACAATATTGCTCGTCCCGGCTTATGTGTTACACGATAGCCAAATCAGAGCAACCCTGAGTTTACGCTTACTCCAAGCGTACCTGAGAGTGACCCCGACGTCACACAAACACTTAAAAAGAGATTAAGAACAATCGTAGATTTCTCGAGATCAAAATTTATTGTTTACTACACAATTGATCATGCAACGCAATATTCTAAATTTAACAAGTATTAGATAGGCCTATACACACACCCACACACACACACACACATACACACACACCATAAATATAAATAAGAAAAAAAGCTTAACGTTTTTTACAAAACATAAAACAATAAATTTTTCGATATTGGGTTTTTGATTTCGCTTTCGATGCCTTTCCAAATGATCGAGGTCATTCGTAAGAAACATAGATTTTAACGCATTTTAACTTAATATTGACAACTTTTATTAGATTTCTTCAATATTCATATTTTTCAAATTTAAAGTAAACAATCTTTAAATAAAAATAATATGTATTATATAGTATTAGTCCAGAGCAAACTTAAATTAATTAACTAAGTTTAATATACCAATATGGTTTTATTAAAGGGATTAATTCACTTATAAAAATTGCGAACATTATAAGCGAAGCGAGTAGGGGGTATATCCGTAATATATATGATAACGATAATATAGTATTCGAGTTGCGTAAATAATAAAAGTTACTGTCTTTTATTTTTTCAGAGATCGGTAATTCAACATCAAAGCCAGATTACAGCTCAGAGTAAGTTTATATATTTACACATCATGTTATGATGCTATGTTTATCATGAAAATAATGTTGAAGATGTATTATATCTGTAATATACTCTAACAGGAAGAAAAAATTAATATTGATCCGCATATGTAATTTTTATTTCGATTACTGATCTTTCTTTGTGCAAGACTCACTACCACTTTAATCGACAACAAAGATATATCTTTACTAGAAGAATGTCTTTTGCAACTCACGCTCTTGTTCGAAACGCTGATTTGATCGCTCAATCGAGTGCTGGAGTTTGGATTCGTGTGAGAATAAGATTCGAGTAAAGAGATTACAAATCAAGAAAAACGGATCAATTAATCGAATAGAAACGGCACATGTAGTGTGCGAGAAAGAGAGAGAAAGAGAGAGAGAAAATCAAAATAAACGCGGCGGTTTATCCACGATCAAAATATTTCTGCAGACGTAGCACAGCACAGATACACATTTACATGCTCATTTTTTTTTTACCGAACATTGTCGCTGGAAAGCCTTGTAACTGGATAGTGGCCTGAGATTCTCGTTAGATAAAGACCACCTTTCGTTTGCTGAGTCGCTCGACTCGCTAATTGTGTCGGCTAATCAAATTCTCCAGTGATATTCTTTCGAATGCACTGTCTCTACAGGTTAGGTGAGAAAAAAACATGTATCTAACTAAAGGGCTGCTGATTGAAGTGATACTGATTGCTCTTTATCACGAGTCACAAGCCGCTCTTAGCTTGTTCTACCTATTCAAACTGTGTGACTATCGAATTCCTCAGCTAGCTTCTCCTTCTTGCTCGCTTATTATTCTCTATTGCAGTTTCGTGCTTACATAGATGCATTTGCCTAAATAAATGTCTGTTCATTACAATATAATATATATCATACGCATAAAAGCCAAAGTTTGATAGTCATAAGAATTACACGATGTAACATCTTGCCATTAGGTATGCACTAAGGATTGCTTTTAGCTTATGAGTGAATCCTTTAACTCGTTATGTTTTTCTGCTACATAATTGTTCGGCTACATAAATTAAAGTAAACGTAAACATAGCGTTCCACTCTATATTTAACTATGGTTGATTATTCATGAACACGAAATTAATTTAATTGAAAACCTAAAGGGTTAATAAAATAATAAATTCATGGTTCGTAAAATTACAATTTTTGTTAGAGTTCTGGTATAAAAATTTATCCCATATTAATTATTATGTTACAGAATATTGTGAGGTGTGGTGTACGCGTGTGTGTAAGTATCACGAGCTACCGAATGGACATTTTGAAACGGATATTGACGCTTCAAACAATAATTATCAATCTGGGGAGGCACAAGAGTATATTTAGGTAGACGACTATAACAGGTGGGGGAAGAAGGATAGAGCAAAGATGATCTTAAGTAACAAACTCTTTGCTTCTCTGCTCTTTTTTCGGGTGGTCTAGCATTCCTCCAAACGCGTGTGTTTTTTTTCCTCCGTTCGTTGTTCTTTTCTGTCGATGCACTACTCTTTCTACTTCAAAAACTGGTTGTACTACACCATAACCGATTACACTGTCATAGCGGTACTAACTGCAGTCACATGCTGTACCTTCCTTTCACTTCACGCACGTACACTGCCGCTTAATTACTTTTACCCTCCTTCGATCAGAATTGTTCAAACTTTGAAGTTTGATATGTTTCTTCAAAATTAATGTGCATAGACGAACGACAGTGCATTTGAAAGCTCTTTTCAAGACTAGTACCTGTGCAAAATTCATTTCAAAATTGCTCACAGAAGAACAGAAAAAGCTTCGCTTTGAAATGGCTTAGGACAACTTGAAAATGATATCTTACGATACAAATATATTCAAAAAATCATTACTAGTGATGAATCATGTGTTTATGGTTATAATCCGGAAATTAAACAACAATTTTCATAGTGAGAGCAATTTGAGTCGCCAAGACCGAAAAAGCACATAAATTCGGAACAATATCAAATAAATGCTTATTTTTTGTATTATAACGAAGTTGTGCACTACGAATATACTTTTCGAAGACAAACAATCAATAAAGTATTACATTGAGAAGTTCTAAAACAATTGCGCAATTAGCCGTGATTCATAAGTTTTTCAAGTATCATTCTAAACGTTGTGAAAATTGGAAAGACATTTTAATTTTACTTACAATACAAATATAAAACATTTTCTGACAAGTAATTCTACCCAACTATCACTCACCAATTTCAATAAAACATGGTAGAACATTAGAAAATATTAGACACAAGTTTTTTTGTATCGGCTCTAACTCATTTTAGAGGCGAAAACCACCTTTATTAAACCACAAGGAAACTAACCTACTTAGCCCTGGTAACAGCAAATTTAATTATTCATTTTCGTAAAATAATTGAATTTCAGATCATAAACCAACTAACCAACCTAACTATCTACGCTTTTACCTATCTAACCCCTAAAAATCACCCCTACGAAACCACAAGCAGACTAACCCACCTAGCCCTACAAACAGCCTTTTTAACATATTAATTCCCAGAATGACAAAATTTCATTCTTACCTTTGAATAAAATACCCTACCCTAGCCGGCGCTGCGGGGAACTCCTGTCCATTATCTACCCGCAGCAGGGCCTCTCCGTAGGCCCTTTGGCGTTGAGTCACCTTTGCCCACTCCCCGAGCAGTTCTTCTGTGCCTTAGCGGTTCACGAAGCCTCTCAGGTACTCGTGCACCTGAGACTGGAGGTCCGTTGTGGACCGCCAGGCACTCTCCACCTCGTTGATCCCCAGACGTACGTGTCTGAAGTCGAGGAGGAGAGTTGGCTGCTCCGGGATATGCGGGTGGTTGCAGATCCAGTGCGATGCCCCACAGGTTTTCCTGGGTTCTGGGCACTGGCTCGCACTGTCCGACGTCTGGGGTACACCAGACTTGAGGGTCTGCATCCCCTGGTCCACGGTGGACTTGGGACGTTTGATCCTCCTGGTCCTCCATCTGGGTACAAGTGTCCCAGGAAGCCTTCTTCTGGGCGACCCACGATGCGTCCCGAAGAACGTCCGCCACCGATGTATTGTGGCGCTTCCTTTGGGTGGCCCCCTCCAACTGAACCCTGGCGAAGCTCCGCAGATCTTCTATTACTGCGTCACATCAGGGCCCAGCTGCAGATTCAACAACATCTGCGTGACCACCTCGAAGGTCTCTACTCCACGATGATTCTCTGGTCCAACTGTAACATCCAAAACAACAAATCTCGGATGAAACTCCCTGCGCGAAGAAAAACCCTATTAAATGCCGCATCCCACCAAGTTATGTCTTCCCTCGTTATTCATTGCGAGAACGCCCAGGCCCTCGTCGATTACCTTTCCTTTCACGACGTAAGTCAGGACTTACCTTTCCTTGTCCTTTGCACGACGGGCACGGTCTTTCAAGACCTATGTCTTCCTCTAGATTCCTTTAAGGGAGAGTTTTCGCCTCTTGTTTGACCGGTGACCGTCTCTGTGACCTTTCGAGGTCGACTTCGACCTCTTTTGGTCAGGGCAGATACCAGAAAATCCGACGCCTCGGTGGAATCGTTACCTAAGATCGTGGGGGCTGCTAATTCGATCCGCTCCCTCGATAAATCCCCGTCCGGATCATCGCACGCTTTCGCGGATTCGCTCTCTTCCAACGGCTCTTCATGCGGCTCACGAGGACCGATGATGGTCGTTTCCTCGCTTCCCTTTTCCTCTCCCGGACCGTAATATGCTTTAAGGTCTTTGGCATGGAAGAGTTCGAGCAGGATCTCCAACTGATTACCAAGTCTGTACGTGTTGAAACCACAAATTTCTTCAATCAAGTATGGACCGGCGTATTTCGGCGCCAATTTGGCTGAAATGTCTTGGGCAGCCGAGGAGAGAATCTTGTTTCTCTTCCATACCCAATCTCCGAACTTAAACTCGGGTTGCCGTCGCTTTTCATCATAATAAGCCGTCTGACGCGCATCTTCCTCCTTTGACTTGGAGTTGGCCCGCTCCCATGAATTAGGGAGCATCTCCATATGTTCAGCACAATCTACTACTGCTTGACCCTCCGAACACTCAAGGGCCTGCTGATCTTGGGATCTTCTGAACGTCAAAAGAGGTAATGGCTGACGCCCAAAGATGAGCATCGCAGGATTATATCCAGTGGCGCTATGAGTTGCCGAGTTCAACGCGAAGTTGAACTCTGGCAGGTGTTTATCCCAGCTCTTATGATCACGGCTCACGTAAGACGTAATCATGGTTTTGAGCGTCCTGTTTACTCGCTCTGTGGGATTCGCTTGAGGATGATACACGAAAGTCAAGGCGCTCTGGATACCGTTCATCAGGAGGTATGAATCGACTTCCTTATTCTTGATTTCGGTTCCATTATCCGACAAGAATACCTCTGGTACGTCAAACCTAGTGACAATCCTCTCGTGTAATTCCCTTGCGATTGTCCTCCCATTGGCTTTGCGTATCGCAACGCACTCTACCCAGCGAGTAAATAAGTCTACAAAGACTAAGACGTACTCAAAACCTCGAGAGCTTTTGGGAAATGGATCGGTGATATCACCGGCCATCACCTGACAGGGTCGTGACACTTATCTACGACCCATCAGCCCGCAAGGTGCCCTTTGTTCCACCTTGCACTGTTGACATACCGAGCAACTCTTTACGTACTTCCTGACCTGATCGTACATCTTGGGCCAGTAGTACAAGCCCCTAGCTCTGGAGAACATACGCTCTCGTCCTTGATGTCCTGCTGTAGGAGCATCATGGACCTCCTGGAGCACTTGGTGTCTTTTCTCCCTAGGCACCGCAAGCTTTCACGCTTCATCTTGTCGATGGACCCTTCACCGTCCTCATCAGGCTGATAGTGATATATCCAACTGGGGTGTGAGTCGGGGTCTAGGCATACTTCCTGGTATTGTTGCAAATACCAGGCGTCAGTGGTCTCCGGCCGACTATTTATGATACTCAGTTCAATCTCCTCATCCTCGTAGGCCCTAGACAATGCGTC